CACGGAATGGGTTGATAATTATCACGTTCAGAAATATATGAATTTGCAGTTTATTCATAAACGTCTATAATCAACTGAAACCATGACGAGACTTTTAGTTGTCACTTTTCTCGTCTTCTGTCCAACGATTTACGCGGTCCAAGATTCATACGGTATTATGCGTAATATCTCTATTGATGAAACTAATTTAATCACTAAAGGGTGTTTGTCTATAACAGCAAACAACTGTAATGAGTGCTTATGCAAAGCGTATCAAAATACACATGTTATTCTATTCACTTGCAATTCATTCTCATCTCACAACGTCTCGTGTACATTATATTGTTATGCACCGGCATCTCAGTATTTTATTCATACTACAAATGCTTCGTCAGTCTATGTCATTCGATATGGTCAAAACTGTTGTAATTGGTCATGGTTAATTGAGCAAATTAACAATGCTATAAACAATACAGTTAGAATAAGCGAACCAAGATTTCTTGCATTAGATGACGATGGGAATATTATTACAACATCAAAATATGAGAAATTAGTTGTCAAATACAATCCAAATAATTTGACTGAGATTACCAGATCACATAGATTAGACGATCCTCCTGTAAACGTCGGATATTACAAGCAACATTATTATGTTGGTTTTGAGAATAAACCAATGGAAATATTTAATTCAACATTTCATAAGTTAGATGGTTTAATAAATGACGGTGGTTTAAAATCACCGTTAACTATCGCCTTCCGTAATGACACAATGTTCATCTGTACACAAATAAGGGACATAGTATTATATGATGTTAAAGATCCAAAGAATATTAGGGAAATAGAGAAAGTAGAAGTAAAAGAGGATGGCGTAGCGTTAGCACCGCGGGGTTTACTTATTATCGACAATACCAACTTTTACACAGCATCATTCGACAGTAATAATATTAAAATCTATTCTAAAAGTGGTGCAGGATCGTGGACGTTCGCGACGTTCATACAAGCTCATACTGATGTCAAGGCAAAAAATGTGACTGATTTCAGAATGGACGATTGTGGAAGAGTATGGATCGTGGATGAGGGCTTCCATCATATCAAGATTTTTCAAGGTGACGATTTAATAGGCACTATTACAGGGCTAAATGAACCGTTCAATCTCTTAATTTTAAAAAACTATGTCTTGATCATAACGCAAAAGAGTGGTGAAATCATTCGAATAGATCCAAGAGTGTCATGTAACAAGTAACGTGAATGATGGATGCACTAGATAATCTTTTCTTCTTTCAAATAAATTTTCGTATCAATTCACGTCTCAAACTTCATTCCAATTAGGAAACACACTGTTACATTCCACATATGACGATAACGAAAGAACGCGTTCATATCTCTTCATTTTCTGTTTTCCTGTGGAATTAATACTATTGTCTATGTTTTCTAGAGAAAGAAAAAATAACTGAAGATAGGAGAAAACGCCAACATAGTTTTTAATGTGAGAAAAGACTTCGTTAATCGGCATGAGTCGATTTGTTATGTAAACGTTGTCCTAAAGTAAGAAAAAGATCGTTTACTTCGAAAATTATCACTTATTATATTTCCATATATAGAAGAATGTTTACATCACTGGATCAGTAAAGAATGGTAGTAATGAAACATCTAAAAACAGAACCGAATATGCTGGTATTTTCTCTCATCATTATTGTTTTTTTCGTTCTACAAAAAACGTGAATAATAACAGTTGAAGAAAATTTAATTTTACGATGAAGTTTCATTTTTTCTTCTTTATAAATATTTTATAATATTCGAAGTATTTTTAATTATGCAGAAGAAAAGATAAGATATGAATCCGACGAGAAGAAAATATCGTTTCGTTCACGTTTTACTTTTCCTACTTCAAGGTGATCAATAAAGGTATTCAAATAATTTTTGTCTTGGTGGAAGTTTTCTTTGTTTTATTTCTTCACTTATGTTTCAATACCATTTCAACACTCGACATTCATTTAACGTCACTATTATAGTTGTAAAATGAAAGAAGTTGTCTACCAAAAAATATAATTAATTTCCCTCAAACAAAAATGTATAAAAACCGAGCGTTTTGTGTTGTACGATACTATGATTAAACATGCTACGACAAGCCTTTTCTTCCGAGTACTACAAGTGCATTGCATACATGCGAAACAGTGAAAACGGCGAGAAATAATTCAAACTTCGCTTCATGACGGAACACGACAAAGCGAACAATCTGTTAGTAGAAATAAAATATTCTCTCTAAATCTGTAATTCGCCTAAATGAATGAAGACTAAGAAGACGAAGCTTATGAGAGTGAGTTTCAGTCACTGACTAACGTTGATTCATACATCATTTTATGAATAATAGTACTGACTTTAATCAAAAACAATTGTATGGGCTCAACTTTTAGGGTAACACTAACCTCAAAGATCATCCACATTCTTACTGGGGCTTATACTACATACACATATTCAGAGACATCCTGATGTGCCTTTATATCAATAAAGGTAGAACCGGTAGGTAATCAGTCTTTGGATTCAAACAAACCTGTCAAATGTCTCCTATGGGTTGTCAGTGCCAAAAACTATATATATATATACGACCGTCTACTCGGGTTGTTTTTGAGAATGAACGACTTTACGAGCCTTTTTTAGCATAATACTGCGATGAATCAGTACGAAAGCCTCCTTTCTCTTACGTAGTTTAAGCATAAATATTGTTGAAACGATCAGCACACCGAGGATGATAATGGCAATAGTTATAATAATGCTGCAATTTCGATAATTGTTTCTTCACGATAAAGAGAATAGTAGAAATCAGATATAAGATAACAGTCACTTCTCTTACCTGACCGGAGGCGCTAAACATCGTTGCTCATATTCTTGTACCTGAAATGAATGTTAATACGTGTACATATATAGACAAAATATCTTTCTCTTACTAGAACAAATGTAGGCGCGATTTTATTCCTGTTTAACTGTTTAATAACTAGTCTCACGATTAAGACTAAACATGGTATGATGATTTGCAATGCTATAGTGAGGCCGCCAAATAGGCCGAGGATAGCGGTTATCATATAGACAATATCCAGTTTCTTCATATATGTTCTTCAATATTCATATATTCTATTCGTCAGAAGCCTACTTTTCACTTCATTGGATGAAAATGAAACAGAATAGACACTCGACTATGCGGGTTCCGAAAATAGCATTGAATGCCACGAGTGCAGTGATCGCACGTCGACACAATAACGTGTTTCGTTACGGGCCTAGGGTTTCGGGCTTCCATGGCTCACTCTCACTATGCACCGCCCGTTGTACGAAAGAAGTGTTTGACCGAAACCTTCACGATAAGCGAACAAGTAGTGCTTGTCTCTCCTCGAATTGTGTTTTCGTGAGATCGGAATCCGACAGGACGTTTCTAACCAATAGAATACGTCCTAGAGGTCTCTCATACTCATTTTCGGATTCCTCATAGTCGATGACCTATTCCGTAGAATTTTCATAAATTTATTAGTAGGTGCACTATAACGTCAGGACAAAGACCATCCTTGTCTAGTTCTAATGTAAACTGATATCAACGAACCAAAGACCAAGCATACACTGAGTTGTCATAAAGCTGTTATTTACGGTTACGGTTAACGGCTAACGGTTAATAACCCTAACCGTTGCATGCCTAATTTTATTATATGCTGAAGAATGAACAGAAATCGTATGCGCTATGGTTGACTTACGAGTAAACCTTTTCACGTGTCAAACTGTGTTTTTAATAATCTTATGCCAGGTGATAGAGACAAATGTCCTAGTGAAAAACCTAAAAGGATTTTTGCTCATGGTACTTCTTTAAGAGTTATGAATTTTGTTTATTTCACTGGGAAAAACAGGTATAAAAGAGATCTACCAACAACCTTACCAAACCATCACAGTGATGGAATAACTGTTGTTCACTTAGAAAACCAATTACCTCACCGAAATAAACAAATTAAATAAATTTTAGAGAGTGAGGGGAGAGAAGATAACTTGTCCATTAGGGAACATTAACAGGACCGCATACGATTAACCATAACTGACGAATAAAAACGCGGAAAATGCAATAGATTATTTTGTTATTATTTTGGTTGAAACGCTGATTTGAAAAAAAATTCAGCTTAAAATTCGCTGTTTTTATCGAGATACAAAAACTTTAGTGTTTTGTACCTGCTTTTGTAGCGAAATAAACAAAATTCATAACTCTTAAAGAAGTATCATGAGGAAAAATCCTTTTGGGCTTTCCACTAGGACACTTTCCTCTATCAACTGCCATACGATCATTGAAAGTGAGAAGTTTGACACCTAGGAAGGTTCTCTCGTAAGGAGATATGTTCTGCACAGGTGCAATCTTACGGTTATTTTTTTGCTTCATGCCATTCCACTAAATATACCATCTGATAGAGCGTTTCACGGGCTACAATCTGGCATACAGACATTTGAAAAAAGTTTTATAGCGCAGACAGTGGATGAAAATTAACGCTTCCACCATGAATCGAATCTCGCTCAATCCGTATGAAACCTATCACTATGACATCAAATAAACCGATAAAATCCGACCGATCGAGTGGAACATGTCTCTACAAGCTACAATTTTCACAAGAAGTTGACTGCCTTTTTCTCCCGTTTCCAGCACCATCTATGATGCATTTGAACAAAAAGTACTTTTCAACACTAAAAAGATTTATTCTAATCAAACCCTAAATTTTAAAACCTTTTAGTCATTTTTATCAGCTGTCTCGTTCATTTTATTACAATGGTGTCTATGTAAATTTCTAATCGATTCATTGGGTGAGCAATCAATAATATTGTTATAATACCAGTTATGATGATATTATAACCATAATATTTTTTTTCCAATAACTGTTAATACCATTGTACAATTAGTTATTCTTTGAGATGGAAAACATTAATAAATGATGTCTAATTCATTGGAACTGGAACTTTATTTATCGATAGAAAATAGATTAAAATTCATGTGAGACTTAAATTTTAAGAACCAGATTACATCCTATTTTTTACAAAGATTTTCGCAAGAAAAATGTTGCTTTTGTATATTTTTCACTTTCTACTTAAGCTAGAGGAAACAAGTTCCTAACATGAACTTGAACTTTAGTTCTTTTACATAGTTAGACTAAATTTTGACTATAACCTTTATTAATCTAACAGAGTTGCCTTCCATGTGTGAAACACAGTTTTTCAGAGAATATTCAGAAGTCTTGCACGGATAACTACTATTCTTCTTCTTCTTCTCTTTTTGACTTTTGTAGAATCATAAAAGGTACGTTGTCATAAAAGCACATTTCTTTTACATTTCGTATTCAAGAGTCTTTGTTTAAAAACTATTTTTTGAACTCTAACTATTTTTAAATAAACTAAAACATGACACTTTTTACAAAATCTGAATTAAATGGTTGAATAAAACCGAGCTCTATTAAGAACACCAAATATATAATTGGACTTTTTTTGAAGTAAAATTATTGAACAAACTCGAATGTAAAATGTTCATATGTATCATGTCCATTAACTCGACGTTGATGAGTTAAACTAACATGATCAACATTTGTTTCATCAGATAACATTGTTCGCCATGCACCTTTCAAATAATCATTACTATGAATTGTCATTGGTGGAACGTATAATGTATGTTTTTTTGGTATGTGAAATGCTGTTAAATGTAATTCACTATTATTTTTATCAACGAACCTTCCTAATATAAAATAGCCACTATTATCATCTAACGGACAGTCCAAATGTGCAAAACCATGCATTTCCAATCCGCCGTGTCCATCGTTCTTAACATAATCTTGTATATAATTTTCATTATATACAAAATCTTGTAAACAATGTCGATGAGATAATGAAACTTTCATTTGTGCACTACTAGCTAAACAACATCCATAATATGACAAATGCTCATTTGTTGCTATATCAACTGGAATTCTTCCATCAAATTCAGGTGGAAATGCACACATACCAGATTTATTCGGTTGAGAACATGATAACCATCGAACATTTTCTATTTGAGCATGTTTTGGTTCAACTGTACAACAAGCTAATTTATACAGATCATATTCACCAGGTAAAATATCTTCAGCTAACTCACCACCTGTTAAAAGAAATTCCAATTTATTAACGCGTCAGTGGTTCGAAGCAGTGAAACAATGCTTTTATGTATGCAGAATTATCTGAAATTGGTTGCTTCCACTCAGTGGGTATTGCACTGTAACAGTTATACATTAAGTATTTTGACTTGGAATATTCTCATTCAAATACAAATGTTTAGATGTGAATGCAGAAAGTGAGTAGGTTGGTGATCACGGGAGAAGCGAAAGTCAGCTATTACTAGAAGTGTGATAGCTTAATCTTACGGTTTGGCGAAGATCTTTAACCTTGATCTACTTAATTCATCACACCTGTTTCCTATTTTGGCGTGCTGCTTAGTCTTATGTTTTTTCAGTCCATCTGCAAGTGTTGCTGGAGGGTGCTTCTGCATTTATAATAAAAAATAATAAAATTTTTTACTTATTGAAAATGTTTATGATTTCTTTTTATTTGAGACAGTTTTACTGTATTTCTACATTTCTCTCATGAAGAACCTATGTCATCATCACCGCCAGTAGCATCACTATTCTGAACTTGAACTTGATTTTGACATAAAAAAGTTGACGAGACTTGCCTACCTCTGAAAAGAATCCGTTAATCTTTTTTTAGAGCATATAAGGGCAATATTCAAGCATGACTATAACTTGTAAGCATGTAACTGTTGAATTGTTAGAAAGTAAACCTGCAAATGCTAAGGTCGCTAATTCTAGTCTCTTCAGGGTCTGAACATCCGTTCTGTCCTTTCTAAGGCACGATGTAAAACCTTTGATCGTTAAGTGTATTATAAAACCTCAAAGATGAAACCTTTAGTAATATTATTATAAAGAGTTAGGGATTTCGTAAGCAAAACACTAACTGTTTCAAACACGTTTCATCGTAAATGTCTAGTAAAACACCATTTTTAGATGGTGGAGAAAACAAAATTCAATAAAGGTTTATGTTCACTCACCTATCATAACTGTGTCACCACTTTTACCAAGTCTTTGAAAATTATTGAAGTTAATCCAACGTTTTGATAAATATTCAGATATTTCATTACAATCAATATTTTCTAATACACTTTGCATTCGGATTGAAAATTCTTCATTATTTTCTAATATGTCTGATATTTGTCGTTCAAGCTTTTGTTTAAACTTCTGTATACGACATGCATCGTTTGGTTTGTTGTCTAAATTTGAATCTAATTTTGGTTTATCAGTAATTCTTGATAATAGAAAATGATATAATTCATCAAAAGTTAATCGTTTTTTATCTTTTTTAATTATTTTATCAAATTTATATCGTTGACTTTGTTTGGATAGACCTAATTTTTGCATTAAATTAACAAATTCATCTTCATCAACATAACCATCATGATTAACATCAGCGTGATAGAATAATATTCGAACTTTATTTTTAATTACGTTATCATTATCATGACTGTTAATCGTTGAAAGTATTTGCGAAGAAGCGGACTCGTGTAGTGATAATTGCTAAAAAAAATAAATTAATAAATTAATTTCAAGAATCACTATTTTAAAATACCGAGCTTTCGATTACAATGAATAATAGGCATAGGATATATATTAGTTCGTCCTGGTTTTCCTTTCTATTCTTCGGAGATAATAATATTTCTGTTACTAAAAGCACTGAAAAGGGGGAAAAATGTAAGAGTTGTGATCATTGCAGTGTTCATAGTAATAGAAATATTATTATCTCCAAAGAATAGAAAGGAAAAACCGGACGAACTAATATATATTCTATGCCTCTTGTTCATATATTTGTATAGTTGATGATGATTACAGTCGTAATCGAAAGCTGTATATTTCAAAGTAAAGCTAGAAAAAGAAAAAAGTTCTTTATCTAGCAGCTTAAGGTTCTCAAAACATCAAGTCTTACATTTTTCAAAGGAAGCATCTCTCGAAACACTCGGAAAAATTATCAGCGGTGATAGACGTTTTGTCAGACGATCCTAAAAGTCTTTCACCACGCTTTGCTTTTCGAAGAACCTTGTATTGTTTATTAAAGCCAAGGTTACCCACTGGTATACGGACCATTAGATTTTTTCTCAACATTATTTGATTTACCTACCTTGACTGCGGTGGGTCTAGCCAGCTTGGTCAAATCGGAGTGTGAACGTGATTCAAATGTTTTTGACAGTCCTAGTTGCTGCTTGCAAGTTTCTTGGTGTCCAGTTGAATTTTTTAGATCATCGACACTTGTAATTGTTAAGCTTCTGGCCTTTTGTTGATTTTCTTGGTATACTTCATTCGATGTGTGAACTGCTGTTGACACCTGATATTTTGAGTTAAAATGAACACTTTGGTGTTTAGAACATTCTTTACAGTAGTCAGGCTGATAATATTTTGGTTCAAAACTTGTACATGGATTATCTTGTTGTTCCATTTCTTTTTGTTGAAGTACAAGTGCAATTGACGGTCGACGAACAAGTAAATCTCTTAATTGACGATATCGTTCCAGGTCGTTTGCTTGTTGCATAGTTTCATTCTCACCTGAATTATTTGGACTGCAATAATTTGAATGAATATTCATTGAAAATACCGTATTTTGATAAATTAATTGTTTCGGTTGTTGAGGGTACATACCGTTAAAAGCGTTCAAAGTGCAAAAACACGTAAAGTTGAAAATGAGAATTATTTCTGTTCTGGTTTATTTGACCCTTTTTATAACAATGTATAAGGTATGATAGAAATGTCGTGGTTTATGTTTTGTTCTCTTCCGTATTGAAAGTCTATAGACATTGACTCATATATAACTTTTTCTAAGCTGAGTATGGTATTTTTTCGTAGAAGTAAACTCTGGAATTATCAGAATAACCTTAGCAGAATGTTAGTTTATGTGCAGATAGTCCACGTCAAAAAACACCGGGATATTTCCTGTTGAATATACAAATCTGTAACAACAAAGCTGAATAAACAGACGCTCATCCCATTCAACGGGAAATCACGATTACATGTTCTTTAGGTAACAAAAAAACTCATTCATTGAATTCTGCATTCAAAGTTACTCATGAATCCAGTATTTTAGACCTCCGAAACTTTGCTCCATCAGCTACTCAATTTTTAAGAAAAGCCCCGATTTTTTTTGGACAGAACACATATTTGATATATTGACTTTTTTATTCTTTTCTCTTTCTTATAACTCCGAGCTATGTATCGGTTAAACGCGAAAAAAAGCTGAACAATATATGATAGTTTTAACATCTGCAAACCAAAACGTAAGACAGGAAAATATCAAACAAGAGAACTATTTTAAATTAATACAAGCAAAATTTTGACTTAAATCGATCATTTCAAGCATCAACTTTAGAAAGAATAGAATTGCTCCCCTGGTAGAAAGTTTATCGCTATAAAATGAGCTATTTTGCATCGGAATTGAAGGTGGGGAACGTGTTGAAATTACTTTCAAACGACTATCACTACAATTAGTATTGATCAGAATTCTGTTGGAAACGTTATTTTTGATACAATAAAGATTAATTAACAATACATTAGACTTGCTGATGTTAGAATAACACTTATATTACACATTTTAGATCTGTTGATGGGAACCATTGGTTTCATGTTGAAGTTTTCCTATTTGGCATATTTAATCTAATGTTTTTGCTCTCTTCTTCGTCGCACTCTTCTACTTTCATTCTTTTCTGTTGATTGGATTTAAGTCTGAAAAAATGCCATTTTATTTAGCCAAATTTCAAAAATTCGTTCACACTGAACAAACAGATTTCATTGGATGAACGACAATATGAAGGAGGACATGATATCTTTTTTTTCAGTTTAAAAAATTGTACAAGTATCAAGTACATAGACATTACAGTTTAACAAACGAAACACAAATAGACGTCGTGTGTACTTAGGCTTTTCAATTTTCGACTGAATAACAACTGCGTTAACAAAGTTTTGTATGGCGCTTAAGATTGTGATATTATGAAATATACTATTTATGATTTTGATATATTCAACTCGACTTGTTTGAACTAAATAAATTTTGTTTTACAACCGCATTTCTATAACGAAAAAGCGGTTGTAAAACAAAATTTATTAAATGCTGTTTATGGTGAAAACTTCAAGTGCATAGATTCACCTAGTCTTGATAGTGTATTGTATCAGCTGGTGGTAAGTAATTTAGTGTTGTATAGAAAAACTTTGAAACAATTGCTATGTGTGATAATGCAATAGTGTATTTAACCTTGAATTATAAAATTCTCATACAAAGAGTAAAAAGAATAAACTGCAGAGTTCCTAAGCAAATAAAGAGTATCGAGTATTGGGCAATCCTACCTAGGTAACTCAATAAAAAACTAGTCGACATATCTAAATAATCCAATATCTTATCCAATTCTGGGTATTAAATTTACCACATGTCCAAGTCAGAAATCTGATGAAGTATCTAGATATTTTGTTGTGGTATTGGGCAATCCTAGTATGAAATATCTAGGTACAGGTGTCACTTTTATTGGGTTATCCAGATATATTGGGCATGGTATTGCCCAATATCACAATAAAATATCCAGATATTTTCATATACAATCTTTTGCTTGGGTTGTAAAGAAAAAAATTTGTCAAAGAAAGAAAGGAAGTTGTTTCATATGTAAATTTACCCAATGAACTAACAAACAATAAAACATAGACAAAGTAGACTACCCATATATCATTGAGTATACTTAGGAAATACAATTGATTTAAAGAGCCACATTTTATAATTACTAAAGCTGAATTATTTGTACTTGTAAAATAATGTAGACAAGTACCCGAGTGGGGGTGCATGGTGAATATCAGAAAAACAGAATTATAATAAAATCAAAACGTTAAGTTCACCAGACAGTGCAAAAGTGTTCCATTCTGTGTTTGATGAAAATTTGCCGGTCATAGGTCACATATCATTAAAAGCCTGATTCAGACTGACACCTCCGAGTTACTAGAGTTCGATCTAACTGATACTCGTCATAATCTTGAAGTATCATCGACCAAGTTTTTCGACAATTTCATAGTTGTCACATTGTACAGTCCATTTTAAAAGCGGAATGTCACAGTTCCTAAACATTCAGAATTCTATCCCGCTTTCATCATAATCCAACTATCTCATACAATTGAACAATGATGGAACAGAAATGAATATGAAGAAGCATATAGTTTCATCTAATATACTCAAGTTAAAGTAGAATTGAACCTCGTTTCATCAAAACTGACAATAGAACTGAATATAGAACTGGCAGAAGTGAATATAGAAGCAACTTTAAGCTTGCATGGCTTTTAAAACATATTCTGAAAGAGTTCTTGGAAAACGTGAGTACCGGTCGCTTTCGTCAACATTTTTTGAAAAATGGTCGGTCAACCAGCCGATCCGGTCCGCACATGACCGGTTGCATCTCTACCTCGGTTCTGCATAATTGTCAGCTTTGTCTATTGTTCTAGATTCTGAAGTTTATTTGATTCTGATCTGTGTTATCTAGAATTCTGAATCTGGAAGAACTCAGTCACCACTGTTTTACAAACCCTTATTCTTGCACCATTTCTTCGCACATGACCGGTTATAACAAGCTTACTAATGAACATTAAACTTCTTTAATATACTGACAACATTGTATATGACTTCATTGCTTTGTACTAATTAACAGTGTCATAATTATTGTTAACAGGAATGAAATTAGAGCAACGTGGTTCAGTTAGCTAGTGACCAGAGAACGTACGTCAAAGATACTGAGTTGGAATCTCGACAACGACGGTCACGTAATAGTCTTGAACAAGTTATCTCATGCTCATTGGTTCGACATCTTAGCCATAGATGTAACCTGATATAAACGGAATAACGTAATTTTGGTGGATAACAGGTTGAAGAGATAGGAATTAAAGTTGGATAAATCAACAGAAACGTCATGTATCATGATGTCATATTTAAGTTGATAAAGAGTGTGTCATGAGTATGTCAAGTTTTTTTATTGAGAATAGATTTTTCTGTATATAGATTATGTAAAAATATTTACTTACATTATCGATATATTATCATACTTATAATAAATGTCATGATATTTTGATAGTAATAAAAATGCGTTTTCATTCTGCGAGACAGTATTGAAATGACGCATACAGATCGAGTAAATATATCCCAAACACAAAACAGCAAAGATCAAACAGCATAGAGATTTCCAAGAAAAACAATTGTTATTTTATTAATAGAAATAACATGTATATATATAGTTTTATGTTCATTAACTGATTTTATGAATCAGTTCTACATATTATAGTATACTGGGCATTTTAGCAATATGTCTTCAGAACAACAGACACGTCCTATAGGTAAGACTGACTAATTGAAATGGTCTAAAAAATAGCATATCAGGAAGTAGACCTCTTTTATTAGATAAACTGTTCGAGTTTTCGACAAAATAACTAGTATTTGTGACCCAAACGTTATATATTACAATGCATTCATTTTTCAGTCAGGTTTAACAGCTTTCGGAGTTTCTCGTTAAGTCTAAGGTCTAAGCTTAAATAGGTTTAGATGTTTGTTGACTCTTTTTATTCTTGTGGTATGCTTTGTAAAGCTTTTCTCATTCATTGGAAGTCACTATATTTTCTTGTTAAGATAACCGTTAAAGGACGGGGCGATTATTTGATGAAATCGGCCCCTGCTCGAATTCTATCGAAACACACATGGTTAGATGCAGAATAAACAGGAGAACATTTCTAGCCACTCGACAGACCTTGGAGTTACTCTAAGAAAAAACTAGGTCGAATTTACTGTAACCAAAGTTCCACTCTTCTTTCTTCACGGAGACGATCCTGTGCTCAACACTTGNATATACCATTCGATGGAGAATTTCTCGCGCTACAATCGTATATATATAAACTAGAGAGAAAAGTGTCCTAGGGCACCTTGACATTAGAAATACTTTATGCAAAGCGGTAGCAAGTGGGTGATTTATTGAACGGAGACGATCCTGTGCTTCACAGTTGTCCACTAACCACGACGATACATATACCATTCAATAGAGAATTTCACGAGCTTCAGGATGAGCGATAAACAAGTCTTTCAGAAATATGCCCACATGAATCATTAGTTGAAATACTTGTCCGATATAATGATTTTGACCTATCTTAGTGCTTTCAACACTCCATTAGTCGTTTTTCTGCATAATGAAAATTATGTATTGTTCGAAAACATACCACTGGATAGCCCTTGAAATTCTCTACCAAGTAAGCCGGTCACAATATACAGACCGGTGGGGCCTGCCATTAAGGATACTGAAAAGAAAGTTTTGGGTATTATCTAAGCAGTACCGTGTGTCATAATCACAAGAACTCCCTTGTTTTTGACCTTTTAGTAAAAGCTGGGACAAATCTGAATAGTGTTTTGAAAAGTCCGAAGATTTTTCTATCAAATTAGGTGCATGTCCGCCTTTCATGAGAAAAGTTGATAACAGAGCTTCCGGAAAACCTACCTGCTTAAAAACTAAGTCCTTAGTTTTTAGTGAGAAAATTTTGCAAGCTATACAGCCTGATAGAGCGAAAAATTCTGAGCAGAATGAGACTTCTTCCGGCATTCTATAGCGCTTTTTCACGCAACTACAGATCATTTATCACTAGCCACAAGGGGCGTCAAAGTTACCAAAATATTCCGGTGAAAGTGCGCTGTTCAATAAATCACCCACTTGCTACCGCTTTGCATAAAGTATTTCTAATGTCAAGGTGCCCTAGGACACTTTTCTCTCTAGTTTATATATATACAATTGTAGTGCGAGAAATTCTCTATCGAATGATATATGTACCGTCGTGGATAGTGGTCAAGTGTGGAGTACAGGATCGTCTCCGTTCAATAAATCACCCACTTGCTACCGCTTTGCATAAAGTATTTCTGATGTCAAGGTGCCCTAGGACACTTTTCTCTCTAGTTTATATATATACGATTGTAGCGCGAGAAATTCTCTATCGAACGGTATATGTATCGTCGTGGTTAGTCGTCAAGTGTAGAGCACAGGATCGTCACCGTTGAAGAAAGAAGAGTGGAACTTTGGTTACAGTAAATTCGACCTAGTTTTTTCTTAGAGTAACTCCAAGGTCTGTCGAGTGGCTAGAAATGTTCTCCTGTTTATTCTGCATCTAACCGTGTGTGTTTCGATGGAATTCGAACAGGGGCCGATTTCATCAAATAATCGCCCCCGTTCTTTATAGGTGAACAACGTCGAGACATTTATTATATATAAATTATTTTCGTTATTTCAGTTTGTTGTGTGATTTTATCTTACTACCTGATGCAAGAGAGGACCAAATCTTTGGCAACTAATAAAACCACCTGCCTGAAAACAAGAGGCTGACACGGATGAAATGGAATATCCAGCGGATGAAAATGAGTCTTCTATTCGGGGTAAATGAAATCCTGAAACCAGGATAAACATACATTGTTTTGCGCTCGTATAAAATCCAAACGGATACCATGAAGTTCGCCGTCGTACACTTTCGCAGTAGACTTGCGTTTTCATCGGACTTTCACCGTATCCGAAGTCGGAATTTCGGCAATTTGTCAAAAGTTCATTCGCAGAACTCTCTTGAAAGTTGATGCCGTAGAACTCACTAATTAACCGTCTTTGTCATGTTGTCAACCTCCTATAACATCGTCATCGACTATAAAACTGTTATGTTGCAAACAAAACTTTCGCCGTAAAAAATAACGGCGTGAGCCATGAGAAGCTTATTAGCTTTTCTGACGAGAGAGCTTTTCTCTTTTCGAGACTCGAGACTACAGTATCTAGGCTTCTCGATACTTCTCGTCTCGGTGCATGCCTAATAATCGTAAATCAAAAGCCAGATGGTTCTCGAGCTCAAAAGAGATCTGTTGTGTCTTGAGTAGAATTTTTATTCCAGAAAAGCAACCTCTGATTCACTGTAAGCAACAGGTTGGTTTCGTTCGAAAAGCTTGGAATATGCAGAGACCATAGGGTCGAATAAGATCGGCCATATCATTATCACTATCGTCTGGTCCCTTGCTGCTAACCCAGTAAGTGCCAACACCTGTCTCATCGTCGCTAATCACTTTGAGATATTTTGGATTGACTCGATTCTGCAACAGAACATAGTAACGTTGTCCTTCATATTCGAATTCGGTCGCATAGCCCTTGGCCACGTCGAGTTCGGGCGTAGAATAAATGCCTCTTCCGTATAGGAATCGCTTACATTTACTGAGTTTAAAGCCTTCCTCGGCGATGTTCATTGCATTGTGCTTTCCCGTGCCATGGTATGACACGGGCCATTCTTCCGAATCGGTGCCTGTCATGCCTAGCCACCGATCATTAGAACCATACCTTCCTGCCACGTTGAGCGCAATTCGCTTGCTACCGCATGGCCGCTCATACGGGTGATTACCGCGGGTGAACAAAGTACCCTTATCGACAATGTCGGTGAAATCATAATCGAATTCAGGCGCCAGTGTCATATTGTCAAGAGCAAGGGGACCCGCCAGCATAATTTTGACATTCAGCGGTTCATGCCAACCCTTGAGGCAGTCAGCAATTAACTCGTCATCGGTAAGTACTTTGTCACCTTTGAGAATGACTTGGCAACGTACGTCGATACCTTCTTGATTTTGAATTCTATTTTTTAATTGAGGAACGGACTCGCCGAAGATTAGATCGAGCTCGAATGCTTTACCAGTAGAGAGAATAATACGCACTTGTCGATCAGCTCGGGTACCGTCTTTGCATTGGATATAGTGTCCACAGATGGCAGATAATTGATGCGATGGTCCACCGATGCTTGGAATGACAGACGAATAGATTTTGACAAAGTCGAGAGATGCGGTTGGAGCAGCAGAGGGCTTTAGTGGCGTTAGGCCGAGCACCGCGGAGATAGCCGCTGCGGCCAACGGATTGTTCGTTGACACAATCATCTTGGATTATATCTAAAATAGTTCGATAAGCCTAAATTTATCTCGTTTCCTTCTCTATCACACTACAACCACGACGAAATCCACACAGACACATTATTGGGTTTCTTCTTTACACAAAAAACAACGGCGTGCCAGAGAGTTTCCCGTGTGTCATACAGTCATATTTTCTACTCTGTCATACGGAATCGGAAACTGACCAGAACTTTGGTATAGCGGCAGGAATAGATAATAACAAGAGAAAGCTAACAACAAAAACACATCCTAAAAAAAACACGACACGATAAATAAAGACGAAAACAACCACATATAAGTCATCAAATTTACTGCCCACCGAAAAAGCACAGTGAAGAGAACCAGTAAGAGAACCAATTAGAGATCGGTAGCAGTCGTAGGAAATGAACCAAAGTCGGCTTGAACCAAAATTGAGTCCACGAGCTCAGATTAGGCATGCAAGGATAACGACATCGTCTTACCGATTATTATGTACTATTAGATCACCGGATTCTTTTACTATTATAATCAGATAAACGTTATAGAATCGCTCGATTTAACACACAAGAAAAACTAGTATCAGAAAAACGTCCAAAACAATTGGCACTTGTATCAAGTTTTTAAACTACTATTTGCCTTCCGAAGGCAAATAGTTGTGACAACTGTCGACACTATCGAAATTTCATCTTGTCTATATGAAACTCAAGAAGCTGACTTATTTCGAATACAACAAAAACAGCTGTACGTGTCATTACCTTTTTTCTTTTCATGGGTGTTGACGGGTTGCATAGTTAAAAGTTTATTGTACGTCTCTTGATCTTTTCACATTATATAAAATTCTAATCTACTAAAATGATCGATAATAATTAGGGGTGTTAATTTGGTGTAACGTTAGAAAATAACTATAAATTCGTCTTTTATATTTATCCATTAGTATAAATAAACAATAAAATTAAAATAACACCTCTAACAATAATGATCATTCTCCATCATATGACTTTAATATTGATAAAATCTTTAATACTGTTCACAGCTCGAAACGAATCAGAAAAACCTGATTCGATTCCATTAGATCCATTTTGATGCAAATTAACGCTTGCTTCTCTTTTCCTTTCAAATATTTGTTAAAAATATACTGTCTCGAGTGAGACAGTATAAAAAAATAGTTTATTGGTGAAAATAAAATTCTAATCGAACGTTAAATCATTCGATTCGCTTCGGATCCTGGTACTTAAGCAAAATATTATTATTAAATCAATAATTTGTGAAAAACATTGAGTAATATAGTAGACGAGAAAATATACGTATTCATAATTCTCTTGAAATAAAGGAAAGTGTATTCGACATTGTTATGGGATTCGATATTCATATGCACGGCAATATTAATAAATGCGATATTTCTGTTTGTCATCTCACTGGTGAATCTAAAGATGGGAAACTACGGCAATTAATTGTGAAATTCTGTTCAAGATATATGCTATTGATTTATTTTTATCTGGAAATTCAGTTTTATTTTTAACATTAAACTTAATCACTCTGAAATTATTAACTAAACCTAAAAAACTGAGGTAATTGTGCATAGTGGAAAAATTTACAAACGAACATCTTACGGTGAACAAAACATAAAATCAGTATATCACATTTACAATCATTCACGAATTGTGCACCATTAAGCACTTAATTAAGGTCGTGTGGAGCTGAGAGATGTCTCATTTTAATCAGACATTTTCGGGCTATAATCATGTCCCATTAAAAAAAGTTTGGAATTTTTTTATAGAGTTCTTAAAAAACTGATTTTCTTGTAAACCGGATCTTCGGAGGGCTAAGAGCCATCCTCATGATAAAATTCAGAATCAACATGGTCGATAACCTATAACCCACTAGATTCCGAGTAAAAAGCGTTTTATTATCTGTAGAGTGTCCCTCGTTACAGTCGATGTCGCAATAACCGATAACAGATATATACTTCCTACTTGAGAGAAGCACACTCTTATGATTAGCCAACAGATGATATAAAATGAAATAAAATTCTAACCTGTTTATAGTATAATGTGATGACCTCTCGTATTCGAATACAGACATATCTCTACTGGCATTTGCTTCACATTTTTCATCACAGAAAAGAGGCCACTTATTCAACAAAATATGTTTATGCTCTCAGGTCACTCCACCACTCATTTTTCAATATATATGCGACTTGGGACGTTATAAATTGAGTGAATAAATGATCACTTTATCACATAGTCAGTTTGGCATTCTGTTTCCTTTTCAGACGGCGCTATGGCGTCTATACAGGGTGACCCAAAATTACGCGATATTTTTTTTTGAAATTTCAAACAAATTTATTTTCAAAAAACAACATAATATTTATTTAAAATGTCCGCCCTCTGCT